AACTTTAAATCTTCCTCTTTGAATGTTCCCTCTCAAGAGTTCATGTTGAATAACAACTTGGAGACTTGATCATAACTTATATGATACTCGTGCATTAAGAAACTTAAATGAATACTTTCCAAATCATCTCTTCAATTCTTAATGGAAACTTAACTTCTATCTTAACAACGACTCGCACTTCATTCAATAAAGACTTGAGATACCTTGGCTGGACGAACAACAAAATGACAAACGCTTTGAATGCATATTGAAGACGAATATAAGATTTGAAGCACATAAGAATATCTTTGATGAACAACAGTTGATGAATTAATAACCTCAAACACCATGTCTAAAACCTTATTCCTCTTGCACTTGATCTTGAGTTGTCTTTGAAGCAGATGAAGGAAACATTTCACAATACCCAGGGATCCAAAACCCTAGTCTCTTGACAAACAAAAGGGAGATAAGCCCTAATCCAGGGTCTGAAGAACTTGAATGAAAGCTGGCCTCTTAAATTGATGAGCAAGAAATCCGCGATAACCATACTTCAAAACCTAATTCCACATAGTCCACTGCTAAAGGAGAAACCAGAGAAAACAACTGCATTGAGTGCAGAAGCCTCAAACCACTGAAAAACTCTATCTTGCACGAGCACTAATTCTTGAACCCAAGTGCTTTATTCAATTCAATGCATGATATGCAAATGAACAAGTGAAGATGATGTATATGAAATGCAAAGTCTAAGCCAGACAAAAGTAAAAGGTAGGATAAATTTGGGGTATGACAGATGGGCTGAATATTCACGGTCCTTAGTTTAGACATAGTTATATGGTGAAGTTTATCTAAATAGAGAGTTGTATTATAAGGTGTTCTATGACACAGTCTCTGAAGTTAGGAGTTTGTTGCGAGTATCTAAATTATGTACTCAAGATCTTGAGAAATGAATGATGATTCTTGATATGGGTTACCCTATTGCTTTTAGATACGGTGTGATATTTGTATTTTTCTCTAGTAACCTTAACATAAATTTCTTCCCACTTGCGGTATCTCCATTAATATCCGCAAGTAGACATAATCTTATTGCAATTGTTTTTGTTAACAACAATCATTGCATTCTGGTGAAGTTGAAACCTGGTTGTCTATTGCCTCCCGTCACTAACCGTTGGAGACAAAACTATAGTGAAGGTGCAAGAGCACGAGAAACAACATATGCTAGACATATAAGGCATTTGAAAGATGAAGTTAGGAAGTCAACATAATTTTTTTTGTATTGATATTGTTGTATGTATATATTTTGTCGGGTTGTGATTGTACCAACACTTTTGAATGTTAAGTCATGCTATGAAACTTGCATTCATGATAAGTTATATCAATGTATGTGTATATTGTATTATTGTCATGTTAATAATGTCAAAAAATTAGTTAAAAAAGCTATAAAAATTGAAAGCCCTACTACCTACCAAGTTCTTAAATAATTTAATTTTTTTTTGCAAATACTGAATTTTTAATATATCTGATACCTAATGTTTGTTATTGGGTTTCTTAAATATCCATTATATCTTTTAACAAAAATTCTTAAAAATCCAGAATAAGTTATCCAAAATAATTGGTTTAAATTCATATTTTTTAAAAACCCGATAAAACCTTATATTTTTGTTTTCAGAATTTTAGTAAATCCGCTAAATATTCATGAATTTCTCAAAAATCCGGTACATTCACTACCAAAAAAAGGTCATCCGCCATGGCCAGGAAACCACAGTTATATGCAAAATAACTGTGATTGTAAGCTTTAGCCACGCATAAGTGACTGTGGGATATCCAGCCGTGGCCTAAATTATACGCCACAATTTTCATGTTTGGGCCACATTTTATATACATCTGTGGCTTGAATAGGCCACAGTTTAGGTATCTAGGTTAACGCCACGATTTATCTTGCGCCTCGGTTATTAACAGCGGCCGAATCTAGCCATGATTATTATTTAATGTATAAGGTTTTAATTTAAGGCCACTAATTAAAACCGAGGCTACATTTTGCTCATGGTTTTACACCACTTAAGTAGGCCACTTTTTTTTTGTGCCACATAGTTGTGACCATGTTGTTCTTTATGCCATGTCATAAAGAACTATTTTAGATCAATATAAAATATCTTGAAACAAGAATACTCATTTTTGTAGATATTGATTAAAAAAAATTAAAATCTAATTATACAAGAAAATATTAAGCCACAACATCAAAATATTCATTAATAAATAAGTAAGTCTCTACATCAAGTGACGCTATCGACTAATAAGTTGCAAAAATATAGATAATTTTTGATATTATCATTCTTAAACAAAACCAAATCTCTCTCTCTCTCTCTCTCTCTCTCTCTCTCTCTCTCTCTCTCTCTCTCTCTCTCTCTCTCTCTCTCTCTCTCTCTCTCTCTCTCTCTCTCTCTCTCTCTCTCTCTCTCTCTCTCTCTCTCTCTCTGGGCAGAACCCTTAGGGTCATTGAGAAACTCGTCGTCGGCGCTAATAGTCATCGTACTTGAAAAGAAGAGGATAAAAGTGAGTTCGACGTCAACGTCAAATCCACCCTTCCACCACTAATCAAGTGAAAAGGCGCCAAAGAACGAGGATCCTGTCCTCGACCAGAGCCCTCAAACGACTACTAGACGGTCTCCATTCCCCTACCAAGCCTGTTGGATTCATGTAAAAATTTCTTACATTCGTCTGACACCACTGAGGTTCTAAAAACTCCCCGGGGAGGACACTTAGTATCCTAATGGCCTCACCCGCTAGAACCACCGTATCCAGCCAATATTTCGCCAGAATTTCTAAAAAATCAATAACCCTAAACCCTAACCGCATGCATTTTCTATGGAAAAACCTTAAAATCTAAACTATAACGGAAGTGACAATCACAAAAACAAGGGGAATCAAGGAAAGCTTATCGAATTGAGTGAAGGAACGACGAGAATAGACGACGGCGAATAACGAAACGAACGAAAATCTTGGAAACAGATGAAGTCGAGTGGAAACGGATGAAGTCGAGCAGATACACATGAAGTCGGGCAAGAACGAAGGTATCGAGCAGCTAAAAGATAAGCGAAAAGTATATATGGAGCTCTCTCCCCTCTTTTATAGGTTGGGCTCACCAGTGCATGGGCGGACACGCGCCTAGGGAACTCTAAAGGGCATCATCATTACGCCCTAGCCCCTAGGCCAACCATCATCACGCCTATCCAACAACACGCGGCTCGATGCATACGAAGCACACAACCTCTCCAGATTCCTCTCCCCGGTAACCAAACACCGGGAAAATTTCTAAACTCCTCGCACAAAATTGCTCCTCAAAACGAATCACTCAACTATTCCCCTCTCCGCGAGGCAACCACGACGAACATCATTTATACCCTTCAAGCAATGTCGACCAAGAAGCATCCCCTTTTCACGGGCTGATTCTAAGTCATCACTCTTGCGCCTATAAGCAACGACTTGGGGGACTCCTGTTCTAGACTGATCCAATGACTAGAAATGACTCAATCTGCTCCTGCCCTTGGCATGACCCAATGACAGCGGCCCAATACTTTGGTCGACCACGACGCTTGTCATCCAACCAGTTATGCCCGTCATACACGCCTGACCAGGTCAACAAATGTCTCCCATCAGCCCGACACGAGTCGACAGACACCTAGGAAACAACCAAAATGGCCATCTGCTCGTAATCCTCTTCCTCTGAACAAACGAATACTTACAAGCATACTTTCCCATTTTGACCCAACTCTGGAAGTTACCTATTTTTATGGACCCACATATTTAGGTCCAAAAATAGGAACCAATGACTACACGCCGGGAGAACATTATATAAACCCTCACACATGTAAGGGCCAAGTATCCAATATTCATCTCTGAAATCCTAATACTTTGCTTGTATCTCTTTGCTCTCACACTTACTTGATCGTCGGAGTGTCTTGCAGGTATAACCTCCTTTTCTCCTCAACTTTCTGGTCCGTCAAAGATCATCCTCCAACCAACTTGCAGGTTCTGATCAATCGATAAGATCAATCATATTTACAAATTTATCAAATAAAAAATTTATGATATCTAAAAATTATATAATTAAAAATTATCAAATTTAAGATTCTCTAATTTATGTTTTTATTAAATATTTACTTTTAATTTATTTAGTAATATTTAAAAATAATGTGATAAGAAAATAACTCACGATGGAGTTATTTTTTCAGCAATACATCTTTTCATTGTTTTAATTATTGGAATTCAAATTGCCTAATCATTGGTCAGCAGGTGCAACAAATGATCCATATCACCATAGAGCAAAAACAGACAGTGTAACCCTATGCAATGGAGGAGTGTTTTAGTGTATAGTGGAGTATACACTATATCATCATCATCTAATCTAATGACCCATTATCAATTTGAACCAAATAAAAAAAGTCACACACAGTAAGAGACCTATAGTAATCCTGCACCATAGCCTACGTCCCTAACAACATAGGAGTGGGATATACATTTACATCTAACATATCACTAATTTGATAATTAGTATGTGATCCACAATGGCAATTTAAAATCATATCCAAAGAAAGAACGGTTTATCTTTTAGTGTTGCCCATTACTATTATCTTGTCAATTTTCTAAATTGAAGAGTTCAAGTTGGTACGACATCTTTTGGGTCAAGTTGGTACCACATTTATAACGGTAATAAGAACATTCGCAACAAAAGAACCTAAAAGAGATAAAATGAAAAGAAAAAAAATAAAGTAAAACAAGTAGTAGCATTTTATTCTTTTCTTTTTTTGTTGATATATATAAAGTAACATTATTCTTTAAAGCCCAAAAAAGCAAACCAAACACAAACTCAACAAACCCGTATCATTTACACCACAAACTTTACAAAGCTTTTCCGTTAACAAGATATTTACAAACATAATATCTCTGTCTCTCTTCAAGAACCACACGTTTACACCTAACCCCGCACGTGTGGGATTGCCACTTACCACCTTAATTGCTAGGATCTATGCTAGTACTATTTCTGATGTACTACGTGTAGATCTTGGTTGCCTCAGAAGCTCAATCAGTTTCTCAGCCTGAACCCACCAAAACAAAATTAAATACATTAATAAAAATATTCAAAAAAACATTATTAAAAAAAGAAAAAAACATCTAACGTGATTTCTAATTCTCAATTATTGTCCAAACATGTGGCACTACAACTATAGAGAAAAAAAACATACAACACAAACCCATGATAGGGTTCCACCATTTAAATAATTCTTAACATGATGCTAAACCAAATCGAAGAAGAATATTCAAGATTTTATCAAATATATAATACAAAAAAATAAAATAATAATAATAATAATTAGGATTTTGCCGTATGAACGCAACGGGAAAAATTTTAATTAGACATAATTAAACATAATGCAAAATTTGCGGTGGGTGGAGGTCGATTCAGATAGGAAAATGACGTGGCACTGCATGTTCTTCCATTATAGCACTAAACCGCACCGTGCCACGTCAAAATTAAAAATATTATTTAATTTAATATGTTTATTTTAATTAATAGTTGAATAAAAATAAAAAATGAAAATAATAATAATATTCTACCTTTTGTTTTGCGCGATTAGTGCCGGATTGCGTCAATGCAACCAAAGGAGGAATGGCACCTTCGCGAGCCACCATGGTTCGATACGTCACGCTGTCGTCACAAATCTGTAACAGAATAACCGCCGCGATTTCTTTCTGTCTCTGAGATCCAACTTCCACGATCTCCACCAACACCGGAACGCCACCTTCCTCCACCAGCGCCGTCTTTGCCTCCGGCACCGACACCAAAACATTCACAACGTACGCAGACTTGTCCACCATATTCGATTCAAAATCCGCCATTAACTCAACCAAAACCTTCATAATCCCCGCTTTCACCGCTCTCATCTTGTTCTCCTTCACCGTGCAAAGCGTGTACAGCGCTGTCGACGCGTCTTTCTTCCCGCGGATTCCGCCGCTTCCTAGAAGTTTCACTAGTAACGGAATCGCACCGGATCGTCCAATCGCTGCCTTGTTCCCTTCCACTTGCGCGAGACGAAGTAAAGCACAGGCTGCGTTCTCCTTCGCCGTTGAAGTTCCTGAGTTTAACGCTCTAACTAACGGCTTAATCGCTCCGGCAGAAGCTATAAGCTCTTTATTCTCGTCGCATAAAGAGAGATTCAAAATCGCAGTGACGCCGTATTCTTGCAGCTGAAGATCTTGCGAAGATACTAGAGAAATTAAAGGTTTAATCGCGCCGGCTTTCGCGATTTTGATTCGATTTTCCGGTTTATTTTTCGCGATTAACCGGATTTCCATGGCGGCTTGTTTCTGTTCTTCGATTGAAGAGGAGTGAAGATCAGAGACGAGTTGACGGATGAGGTCATCGGAATCTTCGGAAGCACAGGCGATAATGAGTCGTCGGGATTGAGAAGAAGTGGTGGCGAATTCGCCGGATCTATCACTGTTACAGTCGCTGAAAGCGGAGGAAGTAGAATCGTCGTTGATGGTGAATTCGTTGAAACTCCGTCCCATATAGGTATAACTCTCCGTTCCCATAACTGTAACGGTGTTAGGTTAGGTTAAGAGTTTGGGTCGGATGATATGGTTCGGGTTCAGGTTCGGGGCAAGGTTGTGGAGACGAACGAGATGAAGGATGAGAAGAAAGGTGAATATATATTGGAGAGAGTGAGATAACATTTTTACATGTGTAACGAAGCCTAGGTGTGTCGTGATGACACGTGTAAATTAATATTATTACTTATTAACTGTAAGCACGTGCGAGAGCTTAACTTTAAACGCGTGCGTTGAAAGATCGCTATTCGATGAAGTTTCTCTGCTGTTAGGACTAACTTTTTACTTTAATACTCCAATTTAGTTTATGCAGTTAAAGCTGTTTTTTCTTTTCTTTTTAAAATTAAAATTTTACGGAATTTTTTTTGGTAAAGATAATTCCTGCATATTTAAAAATGATTGTTTTTAGTTTTTAAGATCACGCTATTTCGTGATTTTATTAAGTTATAAATCTATAGTAATATTTTTTTAATTTTAAAACACCAAATTAAAACAAACACTTCTGGAAACTAGAACAAAAAATTGTCAATCAATTGGTAAAGTATTTTATTTTCAAAACATTTGACAAAGCACTCGTATAGCGCTATTTATATAATTAATTGCTATTATAATTAGCTAACTCGTATAGGAGTAATTATAATTGTACTTTGACAAAAATAATTTGTGAATGAGTCAAATGCTTTCAGTTACTATTGTATTATATATTTGAATGCTTCAAAATATTTTTTAAAGTTAATAAAAATATTGCATAAATAAAAATAAAAAGAAAAAGATCAAACAAAATTTTTAACTTATCAACGCAAGAAAAAAAAACTAGCTAAACCAAATTCATCCTTATGAAATCATCGTTAGCATAAGTTGGAACAAATTAAAATAGAAATTCAGTAGATTTCATCTTAAATGAAAACAAAATTCGCATTTATGATAAATGAAAGACACCTTGAAACATAAAGATTTATTAGTGCAAATATACCACATATGTGTTATTACATATAACCAAATCAAGTTGTTAACATTTTCAATTGATTTGCTTAATATAGGAGTGTAATGTGTAAGAGGGGTTGATATTTGATATCAAAGTGTTTTGGGATAGTGAACTCATGCATTAATGAGTATATATGTCTTTTAAAAAAAGGTAATTGCGTTGTAAAACAAATTTTATGTGTCTTTGATTTAACTTGGAATAGAAATGTTTTATAGGTTAGTAAAGGTAGTTCGATGAAGTTGCATGCATAATAAAGATTTAAATCATGTTCAAAATTATAATGTGTGGCTGCAATTGAAGAAGATATGTATCTTTGAATGTGAGTGTTTCATTACTTGAATTTTTCAAATCAGAGTCTCTTCGTCAGTTATATGAAGAGGGAGAGTGATTTTTAGAATATTATTTGCTATCCATGATGGAGTTCTCAAGAACGTTCCAAATACCTTTTTTGAATTAGATCTTAGGTAGCAGTCGTTTCTCATGTGCTTAATTTGATATTAAAGTATAATGGAGTCTTTGATTTTATAACCTAACTAATTGTAATGCAAAAAAAAGAGATGCTTTTGTCATTCCCAATTTTTCACATGATATGATCTTCAATATCATTCAAAGTATACTTTAATCCAAACCATATTGAGGAGGATATGTGATACTTAATAGATTGTCTGTTCTTGAAGTAATTTCTTATATGGGTAATAACTCATTGTTTGTTGGTTGTGATAATGTTTTTACTAAGATTGAAACATCATACTTTATTAATGCTCTTGATTTTACTGAAACCAAAACCACCTTCATAGGTTGGAGAGCAAACCTTCTCCCATGAGAGAAAGTTTCCTTGTGTCAATATTACATATCCACATAAAGATTCTAATGCAACAATCCAATCTATTCAAAACAGTCAATGGCCATTCATAGATTTTGAAGCTATAAAACAATATTTCATGGATAACAAATATAACCAATTGGACATGACCCATAATGGAAAGAAGATACCCTTTTCTAGGTAGATATCTCAGCTATTACCTTTTCTAAGATAGTCTAAAAATTCCTGAATTTAGAATTGGCCTTAAAAATAGGTACTATAAGGTAGTAAAAAAGGGTCTGACCAATGATAAAATTAAGCAGACTAGCTAAATTATTGAGCTTAGTATGGTTGATTTCACCTCCTATTATCTTGAACTTAATAGTGATGATACGTTGTCTTGAGTTTTTCGATATTTTTGAAGAAGATTATGGATGCTTGTTGTATTCCTCCTAGTGGCATTGTAAAAAATCATAAGATCATCAACAAAGAAAGTATTGCAGATAATGAGAGTATTACTTGAAAAAAGTTATGTAGTTGATTCTTATGCTATGCTTAAAATAAGGGGAGATAAATGGACTCAAACTCTCAATGTCTCACATCTTTAGAACACTTAAAAAACTTTTTGCTTTTCCATTGATAAGTATGGATAATTTTGTTGATTTGAGGATTGTGAGAAAATAGAGTTAAAACCAACTTTTCTCATAAATATGAGAAGGAAAAGCCAATCAAGGGTGTCAAATGCTTTTTTAATATCAATTTTGAATGTCAAGTTACCACCAAAAATATTTATGTCCAACAAGATAATTTCCTCTGATGTTATAGAAATACATTCATATATGTTTGTCTCTAATAAATTCTCTTAGGTATTTTGATATGATTTTGGAAACTTTGGGGTCTGTCTCTAATACATCAAAATATTCACGTTTAAGAATAAATTTAATTACTCCCTCTATTTTAAAATAATATCGTTTAAGGTTTTTGCACACAGATTAAAGAATGTAATAATAGAGTCATAAGACATTACATTTTTACTATATTAACCTTATAAGTGTGTTGGAAGTAGTGTAGAGGATAATAGTTAAAGGATATAATTGAAAAAGTAGCAATAATTTCTACATTGAAAAGTGAGAATCACATTAATTTTCAAACAAATTTTATTTGCTAAAACAACATTCATTTTGAAACGGAGGAAGTAATTAATTAAAATAAAATATTAAATTAATTATCTAAATTTGTCAATGCATTTAGTTTTAAATAAATGAATATTATAGAGACTTTGTTGTTGAGTAGTCCGTGATGACTTGAGTGATTCTTTTTAGTTGATCTCCCTAGAGGCTTCTATCCTTATATGATGTGATCAGGGCCGATCCAACACACATGGAGTCATGAGGCAAAAATAATTAAACGTGTGATTTAAAAAATAAAATAAAAATAAAAATATCTTATAGATGGACTCGAATCGACTTTCGGTTAGACACTAGAACTCACAATAATCACTAAGCTACATGCTAAATATTGCTTATTTTTATAAATAGAGTTAAATATTATTTATTTCATAAAAAATGTATAAAGCGCCAAATAAAAATATATTTCAAATTATTTGAGACCCTATGTTGTGGCTCCTCCTACACATGCACAGGGTCGGCCCTGGATGTGATTATATATTTTAACTATTCTATTAGATCAAATTAATCTTAATTACTGTACCTACCATCAATGAGAGAGTAGTTCAACTTCTTATATATCTTTTGCCTTCAAATTATTGGAACCAACCATACACGATACATATATTTTATATATTATTTATTGATCTAATATGCCATATATTTGTATCAATGATATTGATATATCTATAAATATCCAACAATTAGTATACTTGAGAATTTATTTTAAGAGTAAGTATCATTGTTTACAACAACAACAAAGTCTCATCCCACTAAGTGGAGTTAGCTACTTGGGTCAAACTCTAATATAATATTATATTCAATACCAAGTTTTTCTCCAATTCGTTAATCTTAAGATGTTTTTGTAATAGTTTCTCATATAGTTTTTTTAGGTATTTCTATACCTCTAGTTGTTTAACTTCTCTCCATGTGACATACTTTCCTTACAATAGTATATACATGTCTTATCTCTCTACATACCCAAAACCTATGTCTATTTTCTACCATTTTTTCTACAATAGGTGCTACCCCAATATTCTCTATAATATTGTCATTTCTAATCATATCATGTCTAGTCTTACCACACATCTAACACAATATACTATGCCAAATAAGATATTAGACAACGTTTTTTTTTGCTTTTAACAACACTTAAAAGCGCTTCCTAAAGCAGCGATGCTAAAAGTAAAGACAACGCTTTTTTTCAATGTAAAAACGTTGTCTTATGTCCACTTTAGGCAGCGCTTTTACATTAAAAGCGTTTTCTTATGCACCCCCTTTAGACAGCGCTTTTAAAATAGACAACACTTTTTTATATACCTCTTTAGCATCGCTTTTGCTTTAGACAATGCTTTATGTTATTTTTTTAAGTTAGGCTTTAGACAACGCTTTTCTTTAAAAGCGCTGTCTATTCCCCCACTTTAGACAGTGCTTTCCCACTTTAGGCAGCATTTTTTTTGACTTTTTACAGCGCTATCTATTGATCACAATTTTTTATAAATAAAATACCTATTTTTACTTACAAAAGCGCTGTCCAATATATATATAATGCATTTTAATCAGATTTTAACCATATTTGAACTAGGTTTTCACCATATTATGCACCATATTTGGTAGCTTCATTCCAATAAAATATGCATATGTAAAAATTTCACATATATATAAATTGGTGATATATACAATAACAACTACAAAATTTATGATACAAGTTAAAATTCTACAAATTGAAAGACCTAAAATTCAAAATTGATGTTACATCTACATCTTACTATCTTCGAGAATTCTCATAAAACAACAACAACAACATGAATATCTTAGCTATATCTTCTACAAATGCACCTATAAACCTGGAAAAAAACCAAATGATCGAAATTCATAACATGATAATATTAATGTTGCACTTTATTTGAATTTAATTTATACTCAAAACTCAAAAGTTCTCATCAAAGGAAATAAGACAATATACCTTAGCTTATAAAATTCTCAACCCGATAATGAATTGACACCATTCCTCCTTAAGTTCATCCAATTG